ATGTCTTGTTAATTTATGTTGTTGGACTAGATACTGGTTGTGCTTGGCTTCAGGTCTGCAGTTGCGTTAGTAAGTTGTTGTTGGCAACATGTTTGACTGAGAGATATATTTTGCTAATGGAAGAAATTATCGCAGGGGATTTTTAAACAAGCTGAAACTTAATGCAGGTGTTTTGTTGGTTGGCTGAAGTTTGAACTCATCGCCTACATTCACCCAACATCTCATGGCTAGGATATGTGTTTATATGATCAGCATGATGTTTTTAATACTTGTCTGCTTGCTCTTACTCGTTAGCTCTTTTTTTATGATCTTAACTCTGTAGCTCTTGGAGATTTGTTTTAAACAAAGTGTGTTACAAATTAAGTGTGTTATCAGAGATGTTCAAGTCAAACAGGTGTATTTTAGTCACTATGTCTTAACTTCCATTGTGTAGACTTGTACACTTGCCTTTTCTTCATGATAGGTAAATATGATTTGCTTTACTCTCGCAGGACACCGATCCAGTTCAGTTCTCCTCCGTACACTCCTCCACCCCAAACGCAGAGGCCCTTCTCATCACCGGATAACCTGCAGAAGAATGTCATGGTAAGATTATTATTTTCTAATTTTCACAAAGCATGAGTCATTACAGACTTTATGCTCCCTATTCATGATGTACATTTATTGGACCTGCTATTTCCCTGAGGTAGAGAGGCTCATTTTAATTAAAGAAGAATGTTTTTTTTGGCTGTACAACATGCATATCCTGTTATTTATCTATTCCTCTATCCGTAGATGAACAATATGATGTGGCAGCTCCACGTCCAGCAGCTCGAGCAGTTGAATGGTGGATTTTCAAAGCCTCTGCAGAGGCATCCGTCTGCGGGGGGACACGGCGGAAGAGGCGGCTCAAGGCAACACGATAACTCCCCTTATCGTCACAATACCTCCCAAATGAACAGCGGTGGCAGGAATCAGCGATACTCAGAAGAACAAGGTTCCGGCCGTCATCAGCAACACGGCCACAGCCGGGACAGCTATCACCATCAGGGCGACAGGAGTGGCAACCGTCACCATGACAGCAGAGGTGGCAACAGACATCATGACGACAAGAGTAGCAGCCGTGGCCACCAGGATAACAGATGGCGACGCTACTGAGACGCGCAAAGGATGTCTCGTGAAGACTGCAGCTTTTCACAAATCTGTGGACAGTGTACAAAAAAAAAACTTGGATTATGTTGACATATTCACATGTATACTCAGGTTTTTGTATATAATCTTACCAGATTTAATAATTTATGCCTTAGAGCCATTTTTGTTTTCTTTTAAGGCATTTTTAAATTTCTACACTTCTTAAACGTGAGCTTTTCCTCACAAATGTTGCAAAAAAAAAAAAAAAAACGTCTAAAGGAAAGAAGTGTATTTAGAGCAAGGGGGGGAAAAAATTGACATGACTGGTAGCTGTTTGAAAGATGAACACACACACCAAATGTATTTAAAAAAAGATTCCGGATACTCACCAGTTTTTATGTTATGCAAATAGTATTTGTATGGTGCTCCCAGAGTTTTACTAAAGTCTTCAGGTACTTTGCAAAATAGAACAACAATTTTCAGCTAAAGATTCCACCAGCACCACTTTTACTGCAATAGGGAACCACCCTTTCTTAATTGTATAATTGTAGATCTGACCTTGCTCTTTGTAAAACAAAACAAAACAAAAAAAAAAAGGTCTTTGTTTTACTTTTTTTAATCTGAGTCTGTCAGACGGAACTGTTTTAAAAATGGACATTTTCATTATGATAAAGCTCCTTTTCATTTGATCGTTGCATTGTCTTTCATCTGGTCGCCCCACAAGTGCCTGGCTCTTGGCTGTTAATCAAGAATGCTATTTACAGCTCTCTGTGTATGTCACTAAGTTGAGTAGCTATTGTATGTTGATGCTACATGCCTTTATGCATGCACACATGGCCTTATCTGCACCTATAAATGGCCACGAGTAACTAATAGGCTTGTGCAGTGGGTTACAAAGTAATCTACAGGTGGCGCCACATGCGTCTTTTTATTGAATCAATTAAGATGTTAAATATATCTGAGCCACATGATCAGCTCCTACATGTGACCTTTCTATTTAGGATGCTTTCAAGTCTTCACATGGATTTGACACCCACCCTGTTCACTTTACAGCATGCAATTATGTTGAAGTGTATTTCTTGTCCCCCCCCTAGTGTTGCACACAGAGATATCTTGTTGCCTTTATCAGAAGAGTCTTTACACCACTTGGACAATAGCACAGGTTTGGGTTAATTTGCAGATGTGACAGAAGCAGGCTATTGTCCCATCCCAGAATTAGCAGCATTTTGATCCTTAACATCTCATGTTGCGATCAGCCTTTCGGCATTGCCCCCCCCCCCCCGTGTCTCTGCTCAGGCTTGCTTACAACAAAGTGATGATCAAATCCCTTAATGTCCGAGCTGAGGTCATAATCTACCCTTCCGAAAGTGCTTATGCCACTAACAGGCTGTATCGACAACTAGATCCACCAATAAGTCTCCCTGTATCCAAAAGTGGAGGTGCATTTGCACCCTCTACACTAAGCTCTGTGTCAGATTGCATCCTGATGCTCCAAATCGCTCTAATAGAGAGTATCCTCTGCTCTCGGAGTCGGTACTACTAGGAAGGCCCTTATTATGCTTCTGGCTTTGGCATAACTCTTTTAATTGGTTGATCTGCCTGGCGTCTCCTGCCCTGGAGCGCGCGGATTAGAGAAGCCGCTCGGTAGCCGCTGCTGTGTGGACTTATATAGTCTCCTGAAATGATCCACTTCCAAACATCCAGAGACCCTCCCCTCTCTCTAGCAGCCACGCAACGCAGACCACAAGTGTCAAGATGCCTGCATTCGTGATTCCAGGATCCTGATACCACCTCAGGTTGTTGGGTTCATTGGTGCCACAGTAGCCCGCGCTCTGGGCCTAAGTTAGCCTGCCACAGGGTTTTGCATTTCTTTATAATTGAAGAAAACGCAATGGCATGATTCTGGCTTATGTGTTCTGAAAGGACGCATTCGTATTAAATGCTGAAATAGACTCTACTGAAAATTGCTCAACTGAAGTTGGCCTGACGTGTTTTGATTCAAACTATTAAAAGGGAGGGAACAGAACAATTAAAAAGGCTACAATAAAAAATGCGATCGAAATGATGGTAATAACTTTTGTTTAAGATTGTAAGCTTGATTTTAAAATGCCCTTCTGCATGTTGTCTCTTTTTTTTTTCCTTCCTTTTTTTTTGCAGAGACTTAACTCCCCATGCCCGACGCACAAAAAGTGAAATGTGCTCCACAGCAGTTGTTCACTTCCCTTCCTCTTTGATCAAGCCATCAAACATGAGAAAAGAAGCCGAGCTTTCCCATGCACAGCTCCAATATTTCCTCCTTCATAATCCTTCACTCTTTGAACACGGCGGTTGTGAGAGCCGCCAGCGAGTTGAAAATGAATTTCAAATTCTTGTGATAATAATCGGTTCCACTTTAGGTCACCGGAATGATATCCTGACCCAACAACAAGGAAAACCTTTGAAGAAATATCTTCACTTTGTGTTTCTGACATGTTCGCTCAAATAAGTAGCAGGTGAATACTTTCTGAAATATTGCAGGAGGCTTTATTCTTATTATTAAAAGGCAGATTTCTTTTTCTAAAAGACACGACGCATGTGGAGAGATTCAGCCTGTCAAATGGCATTGGAAGTGTCGGTGTTTGAGGTATTTCCTCACATTAATGTCAGGCACATCAACCAAGCACTGATACATTTTACACTGATACATTTTACACTGATACATTTTACACTGATACATACAAGTTTTGATTTGACTGATATCAAATATCCTCAAATTGTTAAATCAAAATCAAACCAGGACTTTCATCAGGCATCTAGAAACTCTTTCTCTTTTCAATTATTCATAACTTTATTCTATTTGATATCTGCGGTGGCTTTAAAGTTTTATTCCCTCATGATCCAATTGTTGATTAATGATAAATTGCAACCGCTTGCGTCAGTTTGTTTTGCCATCAGAAAAGTGAATGCCACGTGCCACTTTATGCCTCTTAGTAGATCTGATTTTTTTTTTCCAAAGCGGAATTCTATTTAAGGCCTTTATGTAATATTAGTAATAGGCCTTATTTTATTATGTTTTACAAGCTTGTATTGTACACAATTAAACAATTAAAATAATAATGACTAAACAATCTTAAAAAGTTGAATCCAACATTGAAGTAGTCATCTAAACAAACAATCCGGCTGAGAAGCCACGTTAAAAATGTTTCTCCACTTTTTACAGCACCAAACCCTTGACTTCAAAAAATAGATCAGAGTAGATAAATATTATTTAGTAGTATTTAGATTAGTAAGTTAGCTTACTGGTTAAAATAACCTTGATATTTGTTTCTGTTTGATCCCAAAGTTTAAATATGGAGCAGAGGAGATTTTGTGTGTCTCAGGCAAACTTTAAAAAGTAGCCTATGTAAAGTGAAATAAGTTATATACCTGAATTTCTTTTAATTTTTTAAAACGGATAAAAAAATATCTTTACAAATAAAACCTTTACAAGAAAAAAACGTCAGTAAGAAGAATATTAAGCACATGTCTGTTGATATAATTTGAATGTTATGACTGAATTGGTTTAATAATAAATTATTTCTATTGATTTAAGTAGTTATTAAGATAATATGACCTAAATTTGTCGGTTAATAACATTTATATGCAGATGAACAAATTATACAAAAGCCTAATAGGATAAACTGGAACTGAACAAGTTTTGTGCATATGTGTTTGGGAGGTGGCCATGTGTTTGTAGCATACAGTTCACGAGTGTGTGTGTGTGTGAGAGAGAGAGAGAGAGAGAGAGAGAGAGCGAGAGAGAGAGAGAGAGAGAGAGAGAGAGAGAGAGAGCACGGTGATGTGTTCAGAGATGGTTTATATAGCAGTGGGTGTGAGCGCAGTTCGGAGTCTGTTCATTAGCACTGTTGCGCTCTGTGCACCTCCAGTTGAAGGCTTCTGGACGTCACCACGACACTTCAGGGAAAGCTCAGACTGCATTTTTGAAAGACTAACAATGAGTTGTTCAAACGCATGAACTGCAAAAGTCTACTTTGCACACGGTTACACCTGCATAGCCTCAGATTTCAGCGAACGAACCAATAGCTGAGTGAAGACATAGCGCGCGGCGCACAGGGACAGATCATGCACTGTCAAGCCGAGCTGAGGCTCTCTTCCCCGGGTCAGCTGAAGGCTGCCAGGAGGCGCTACAAGACTTTCATGATTGACGAGATCCTCTCTAAGGAGACCTGTGATTATTTTGAGAAACTTTCTCTATACTCAGTGTGTCCATCGCTCATTGTTCGACCGAAGCCTCTTCATTCATGTTCTGGTAAGAAAACTCTTGTTTTTAGACTTGTTAAAAAAAGCAACACGTGAGAAAAATAAATAAATCACAATTTGTATTATTTATTTATTTGTGTATTTAGATAATTTGACATAAGAAAATGTGTTGCTTGGAAGCTGTGGTATTTTACGCGTGAGATCAATTTCACCATCAATAAAAATAACAATTTGTAGCCTATTTAAGAAAAATAATTTACATATTTCATGAATCAGGAACTTGCATTTCCAACCTGAACAGCCAGGTGAGCAATGGCCGTACGAACTCAAGTGTGTGTGACCGATTTACTTTGTAGCTTGATGACATATTCGTTACTTTTACTATCCAATTGGTGCGTTCAGAAATGTAAAATTGATACAATGCAATACTCATGATACATTTTTAAAGTAAGGCATCTGTTTTATTTTATTTTAAAAGGCCTAGTTTGAAGGGAATCACTTGTAATTCATGCATTCAAGAACTTCACCTGTTGCACTCACAACTTTTACTGCAGCCATGTCTGAAGTGATGAAAATCAAAGTCATGCAGTACAGAGTGAAGTGATGCTTCAGGGCTTTTTTTTAAACTGATGAATGACTGAATTGATAACTTGTTACACGTAGAAGTTGACAAAGAGGTGGTACAGCAGGTAGTCCTGCTGTGGAAGCCTGTGGTTTTATCTGTTACCTTTCGTCTATTAGGTCTAGGGTTGTCCTGCTTATCAAAGGCCTTTGTCGGGGACTTTAGCTGCTGCTGGATATTTTGCAAAGGGTAGGATTGTACTGTATCTTGTACACATGTTAATAAGACACCAAATTTATGTCAAGCAACTCAAATTTTGTAATTTTTTAATGTAATAATTACAGTGCAGCAAGTCAAACCACCAAATACATGATTACTTTACTTATTACTGCACATTGCATATAATGAGTAATATAATAGCTAGTATAGAATAAATGTTGCATGTTGCATGATAAGCACTTTTACAACACCATAAAGAGCTATAGATAGATGGATATAAGATAGATGGATGGAGGGATGGGTTTTGCAGCCCTTTGCTGTTCCATGTGCTTGCTGATATTAACCAAAGCAGTGGCTCAAAGCTCAGTTTGCTCAACGTGATATCATGTCTGGAAAAAACAACAAATCTTGACTGATGGTTAATTGTAATTCTAGATGAACCCAAACAAACTCGTAGGCTACTGCAGCCTCTAGTAATCATTAGTATAATTGCTCCAAAGTCTGAAATAATAGCCACTGCAATTCGATGATGACAGCGGTGTGTGGATAAAAATAGGAGCAAGCGATTCCCTCATCCCACTGATATAAATTGGTATATGCTAGAGGGCACTATGACTGGCACCCCTCTGTTCGGGTGGATAGAGTAACCCGCCCTGCATATTGGAACACTGTGCCCACCACTTATTTGTGGCTGTGGGGGGGTGTGAGACACAGTATATTCCCCAACATCAATGGCTTTTCGAGCTGGATATAGAAGCTGGCAGCCTTACAGGTCGTGGGCCGAAGAGATCCGGCTGGCCCCTGAGCGGCCCTCTTTAACTGTGACTTCTTCATTCTGCAGAAGAAAGAAGAGGCTGCTATAACCTGCTTCTACCAGCGGAGGCCGCTGAAAGACAGTGATGCTGTCATGTCGCCTGAAGGAGTTCTAACCAATTAATTGCTGTGTTTTTTATTGTTCACCACCGGTATGCCACTCAAACATGCCAACATAATTGTATTCCTGTTTTGTTTTTTTAAAGTTGTGACACTCTCTTCAGAGTCTCGCTCCAGTTTATGTATCTAAAAATGAGATAAAGACAACAACTGTTCACATTTTAAAGTGGCTAATAATTGTTTTAATCACCAATCATTTGGAGCAGGATTAGAGACAGTGATTCCTGAGTGGAGAGTCATTGTAATAGAAGGGTGCAATATTTCATTTGGAGTCCCATCTCTCAGCGGGGACCCAGGGCAGGGCTTTTAGCCGTGTTCTCTGAAATAGGTGAGAGATTAAGATCAACTGTGGTGTAATCTCAATTGACAGCATGATGAAAAACACCAACAAAACAAAAAAAGGAAAAAGGAAAAGCAGGAGTGTGTGCAGCCTGAGGGGCAGCTGAGCACTGATTTGGCCCTAGCTGAGGGCTTATAGAAGAAATCCAAGTGAGCAAAAGGGTTCTCATCCCATCTTTAACTGTAATCCACTGCAGACAATAAAGTCTCCCATTAAGCTTAAAGCTGGCTTGAGGAGGTTGATTACACCCGTGTCAACACACACAGGCAAGTATGCACACACATCCTTCTTTTTTTTTTGTTCAGTTAAGGATGATGTTTGACAACCTGTCATCTCCACATCATTCTCCACAAGGCCACTTACATCAGATTCTTTTTTTTTTCTATTTTGACAGAGGATCAGTCATAAACTCGTTCTTTAAGTACTTTATGCTACAGTCAGGTTTCAGATGCCACAGGAAGAGCTGTGAGGACTGAGGATCAGGTTTCAGATTAAATTGTTAACACTTTGTTTAGTGTAATGCCCTTTGGTAATCATGCAGCTTTAGCCGGGGATGTTTTTCATCATGTGTCTGGGAAAGTATCACGACCATTATACTCAACATGATGCTTTTGACACCTTCCCTTCACCAATTATTCAGAGTGCTGGCATTGAATTGCTCCAGTCAAAAAATAAAAAGAATATAAAGCATGAGAAATAAAGCCCTGCCCATCACAATACCGTTTAATTTGTACTGAAAGACAAGAGCCAAATTATTGACAAACTTCTTAGCTGTTAATAGATAGTTATTAAAACAAAAGAAAAAGGGAAGTAGTATGCACATCCTGTAGATGCAGGGCAGTGCAAAAACAGCAGACTGATGAAGAAGAAATGCCTGCACATTTGATCAAATGCCACAAAATGTTTTAAACGTGATTAATTACGGTGGCATTTGAGCAAGTGTGCAGGCGTATCTTCTTCTAAACCCAAAACAAAGCAAAATTGCACGTTTACTTTGTCAGGGTTGAGCAATGAATCATCCATTTGAGGATCCCATTGACAAAAAAAAAGTTAGATGTTATGATAAGGAGCAGGTTAGTGAGGAAAAAAAAAACTGTATACCTTCTCATCATTTAGACAGTTTTTGGCCTGCAGCTTAAAAAAAAAAATCTCCCCTTTGAATGCAAATCATTTTGAATATTTATAAAAGACTTAAAAGGAATGCTTTACAAATGTTTCTATTTGATCTATTCTGAGAGGGTGTTTCTCCTGTAATGGTTACCATAAGCACTGGAGCAGGTCCCCGCATTCCGTCTGTGATTATCAAGAGTATCAGTGTGCGAGTGCACGGGGCCGAGCTCCTCAAACAGTTTATTTGTAGACTATTGACAGGACACTGGCACTTGTCAACATGTCAGAGAGACGGCTTCACTGTCAGTGGAAAAACCCCGTGAGGGCTAACATTTCTCTCCCTCTCTCTGTTTCCTCCTCTCGCTCTTCTCTTTTTCTTCTACCTCTCGTGTCCTCCGTCTGACTCGGACTGTCCGGAGACAACTTCAAGCTCTTGTTGACAAGAGATTTCCTGACAAAATGTGAAGCCCATAGTTTTCAATTCAGCATGCCACAAGTATCTCTTTCTCTTCACTCTCTAATGGATCTTATTAATGGATCATGGAGGTGAGGAGGATGCTCTTTAAAATGGAGGTCATACCTAAAACTGATATAATAATTAAAAAATATGGAGATAGAGAGAGAGAGAGAGAGAGAGAGAGCAATTGAAATGGAAAAGGTATAAATGGAAAGCAAGAGTATGCAGCCAGAGAGAAAAAAAGCTCTTCTTGTCTAGACCTGTTGCAATAGCAGCGATCTCACGTTGGAGGATTAGTGATGACCTCAGCGCCTCACCATGATGTCATGATGAGCCCAAGGCAGTGTCTGGTGTGTGTGTGTGTGTGTGTGTGTGTGTGTGTGTGTGTGTGTGTGTGTGTGTGTGTGTGTGTGTGTGTGTGTGTGTGTGTGTGTGTGTGTGTGTGTGTGTGTGTGTGTGTCAGTTTGTGTGTGTAGGTGTAAAGAGTACCAGTGTAGCTTGTGTTGGTGTGCAGAAGTAAGGCTCTTTATGCTTGACTTCAATCTAATAGAGCAGCTTGTTGTGGATTTGTGTACACTGTAGATATGAACACATGTTTTACTCTGTTTTAAGATTAGAAAGAAGAAATACATCACTTTTTTAAGCGTTCTTCTGTATTGTTGCCTGAGCTGAAATCCTTATTTTGTCAGGGGCCTTAAGGAAACCAACATAGATGATGAAACTAAAAAGAAGTGTAGGTTTGCCGTTATGTCTCCTGTTGAGAGAATGTGTGTGTTAGTGTTTAGATAGTTAATATGTTGCGGTTCAATCTGGGATTAAGCTGTCGGATCTTCAACCAGGAACACAAACGCTCCGTGTGTGTTAGTGTGTAACAACCTGCTATCTTCTTTGCCCCACTGCAGCCTTTTTACCTCCCTTTATATCTTCCACCTCTACTCCTCTAATCCCCCCTGTGTCCCTACACGCTGCTCTTTATCAGCCAAACCTGCATCAGCCAAAGCATTACAGCCATGCGCTGGGCTCTGTTGGCTTGTAAATTAGAGTTAAGGGATTGTTTTTTTTTACATTTGAAGCCGTAAGGATTTTCTGGCAGATATCATATTCACTTCGGTTGACCCACCGCATCCTCTCGGCCATCCTCGGCTCCAGACAAGTGTTGATTTTTATTGATTCTGGCGTCTTGCTGCTTCTGTCTACGCTGATAAAAAAGCATTTATATATGACTATATGTGTGCAAAAAAAATGGGAACGATTGCAAGCGAGGGAGAAGAGTTTATAAGCAGAATGGTGTCTGATATAGTTTTTTTTTTTAAAGGATTTTATTACAGCATTTTCAGTCTCTGGATGTTAGTGTGTGTGTGTGTGTGTGTGTGTGTGTGTGTGTGTGTGTGTGTGTGTGTGTGTGTGTGTGTGTGTGTGTGTGTGTGTGTGTGTGTACATCATGCTGTCAGGCTCAGTGTGTGCGACTGCGAGAAAGCCAGTTAGGATTTAACCACTGAGAAATAATCATTCATTTGAAGGGTTCAGAGGAGCGGTGTAAAACACAGTCTGCGTCATTGGGATCACAGCCTCTCTACATGGTGAAGGTCAAAAGTAAAACACTTTTCACAGCAAAAACCGGGCAATTAAAAACTGAACCTGTCTCAGCAATTACAAGCGGTCGATACTGCTACAACCAGCATGACTGAGGGGCACACTAAAAACTCTGCATGACTCAAAAGGATGTCTGATCTTTTTCCCCCTTTTTTCTTTGTTGCACCAGACTTTACTGCATTCTCTCTTTTTCTTTTTTATCTGACGCACTTTGTCTTTCTCTTTTCAGGGTCCTCATCACTACGTGCCTACCCTCTCCTCTCAGTGATCACGCGGCAGCCGCCCCACATCCCTCAGGTGTCCTCTCCGGTCGGGGTCCCCTCGCACCTGCCGTTGCTGTCCCCGCAGCACCATCGGGGGGGCTCCGAGCCCTCACCGAGCCAGACGCCCCTTAGCATCAGCAGCGAGTCGGACACAGAGCACAGCGTGCCTCGCCTGAAGAAGCCGCGTCGCAGCCGCACCATCTTCACCGAGCTGCAGCTGATGGGCCTGGAGAAGAAGTTCCAGAAGCAGAAGTACCTGTCCACACCTGATAGGTCAGTGGAGGGTTGAAAACTCACATCTGATTAGATAGGTTTGGGAGTCTGTTGCCAGATAAAAATCATGTCTGTACTTAACTCAGAGCTACCTGAAATGATTTCTTTTGACAAAGCAATAACATTGAAAGTAAACCACATGTGTGTTCTAGGTAACTAACACCAAAGTTATTACATTTCAGATTAAAAAAAGACTCATATAAGTGTCACTCAAATGCATACCTCGCATAGAGCACATTTAGAGAGTGCACATACACACATTCACAAAGCCACAAGTGCAAATGATCAAGCAATGGTTAACCTAACATCATCATTTTTTGATTTATCCTGTGGGGGAACGTCTCATGTAATGTGAATTTTGTTGAAGCCAGAGCATTACCTCAGCTTTTTCTAGTTGAGACAAGAGTAACGTTTTTTAACCCTGCGCTCCCCCAGCAGCAAAATGCCCCAACAAAGACACAGTGTCTCACCGGAGAGAAACAGGGACGGCAGCCAACGCAAGCAAACTGAAGTGTATTTTACATTGATTTACTGCCAGTCGTTTCACACATGTGCAGGTGTATGTAAAAGAACGCAGCACTATCTACGATGAGATGAAGTCATCCAAATGTTAATATTATGTCTTCAGTTCCGTTCTTTGGGTCATTTTCAGGACCTGACATGAGGTCAGACCATATTTTCTTAGTTTTATTGTCCAATTCATTCTTGTATTTGGCCTGTGGAATATGTTTCCATTATACAGAAACCAAGACTAGTATTGAGCCATATATGTTGTAAAAATAAGATTAGCTTCACATGCTAAATAGGGTCTCAAACTGTATGTGAACTTTGCATCCAGTAGAGATAGCTTATTGTACATTACATCCCTTTTCATAGATGTTGTCAGTAAATCAGAGGTGATAAAAATACATATTACAGTCTTTTTATAAAGTGTGTTCTCGTATTTAAAAGTGCAAACAGCAACAATTTCCAAACAGATGTCTCAAACCCTTGCATCCTTTTTTTTTGCAGCCTATCTGCTCACCACATCTAATCTCAAAATACATTAGCATATCAGGAATAAACCAGATTTATTTGTCATTCCATTTACAGCCCATCCGTGGGGAAAACTCCCACGATGCATAATTAACTACATCACATCTTGGCTTGCCTGGAGGCCATTGGAAAGGCGCCATGCCTCCTCTTAAAGCAAAGAAGCCCCGAGGCCGATCACAACTCAGCGATCAAAACCAGCCACCCTTAAAAGACGATGGTGCCAAAAACACTGTGTCCTGTCAAAATATCCGATTCAGATACTGTGTTGAAAATTAATTAAATACCCAGCTGGTGGGAAAACATCAACAGAGAAAATCCCCATTTAAAGCCCCCACATCAAAGGTGTGGCGTGCTCCCCACTTTCCAAAGCTAACTTCACTTTTCTCTCCCCCTTTTTTTTTTTTCTTGGCTTGGAACTTCTGCGGTTTTTGGATTGAAACTGTATGCGGGGGCAGGAGGAACCGAGACCAAAAATATCCCCGAAAGATACTTTAGATTATTTATATCTTACAACAGAACAATTTATTTAGGCAGCTTCCAATTGAAAGAATTAGCGCCTGGATAATCCTCACTGTCATCACCACCATCATCATCATCATCATCATTATTACTTAAAAAGGTATTCAGTTACACCCAAGATTCCCCTGTGAAAGGTGTGAGAACAGAACAAAATGGCGGCCTTGCTGTAGCCTGGAGGAGGACTTAAATACTGTTTCTGTTGCAGTTAGTGTGTGGTTTCTCTTTATTGAGAACTAATGACCATAAATAAGTGGGGTGTTTTCCTTTTTCTGCTATTACTTTCCTGTGCCTCCAGTTGTCGAGCTGCTATTGACTCGGGCACGCATGTTGGTGAACTTCTGATAGACGGCTTGATTCCCTTTATGTCTGCTGGTTTTTGAAGCACACACCCAAAAAGGCCTCTAATGTAAGGTATAGGATTATGTATATAGAAGCTCAGGGATTTATTGTTGCTCTGCTTTTTAGATTCTCCATCCTCTGTCTAAGCTTCTCCTTGCACCATCAAATGAAAGTCAGTTCCTTCCACTTGGGGGTCGTGTGGGTGTGAATCCTTTCATCCGCCCGTTTAAAGACTTTGAGAAGAAAAAGAGTAGAGGAAATCTAATTTTAAAAAAACAAAACCCAGATAGCTGCTCTTTTCCTGGAGTGGATGCCTTGTTCACTGTATCTGTCCCTTCCTAAAGGTTTCACATTACACAAAAAAAACAATCGCCCTATTAGTCATGGATCAACACATGTGTTGGATGCATTCAGAATCTTCCTACAGCCCCAAAAGTAGAGGACTGTGTTTTACATTGAGCTAAATGGACTGTGATTGGATTACTGATGTGGGTACAGATGTTTGAGCAGCTTTTTCTTGAGCTGCAGGTGTACAGTGTCAAACTCAAGCTACCGGCAAATCAAGCTTTGATATGAGACTCGAAGGTCTTAGGCTGTTCTTAAGCATGCATGACTCACATTTTGTAGACTTAATGCTACGTGATACACGTGTTGTAAGGTAAAAAAAACAAACACAATTGGAGTCAGGATTCTTATTGTCAGTCGGAGTCAAACCCGGCTGCTTTGGATGCAAGAAGTGTGTTGAACTGTTCGTCTGATGTGCCGCTTGATGTGTTTGTGATTTTGCAGGTTAGACCTGGCCCAGTCACTCGGTCTCACACAGCTCCAGGTGAAGACATGGTACCAAAACAGGCGAATGAAGTGGAAGAAATTGGTAAGAAGACAGTATTAAAGTTAAGGCTGGGACGTCTGGAAACTGTTTTTTTTAATACAGAAGGGGGGGAGTAATATCTCAGGTAGATCTGAAATATTATTTTTCTGTCATCACTGAAAGTTAAAAACCAAAACTGTAGCTTTGATTTGACTGCTAACCAACTCGTCCATCTACCAATGATTTGCACAATACTTGTAGGACAAGCAAATAAAAGGTAGCAGTGTGTCAGTCAGAGAGGGTGTGGTTTGAGGTGTGACCAGTAATGACAGCAGAGAGAGAGCAAACACTTTTGAAGGGTCAACAAAATAGGAACAAAAAAAAAAGAAAAGAGGTGAAACCGTCAAAGACAACTGAGTGCACAAGGAGCAGCCAGGAGCAATACGTCTTCTCTTAATCACTATAATAGCATGCTTTTCCTTTGACTGCTGCTACGATTTATTTCCCGCTAAGATCCTCTGTGTGATATTCTAGGTGCTCAAAGGAGGTCATGAGGCCCCGACTAAGCCCAAGGGAAGACCCAAGAAGAACTCCATCCCCACCACAGAGGAAATAGAAGCAGAAGAACGGAGATTGAAGATCGAGGATGAGGAGAGGAAGAGGAGGGCGGGCGAGAAAGCAGCACTGGCATCGCAGCTCGAGCCTGAAGATCTCAGTACAGAAACTCACAATCCAGCAGCGACGATGGAGGGATCTGAGGGAGAGCTTCTGATGCAGTCGGAGACTCAAACAGCCAGCTAGAGCAGAACAAAGCAAACCAAAGACTAATGCCTAACCTGAAAACAAAGAGTGCCTCAGGATCACTGTAAAAAAAAAGCCTGCGTGGTGTTTAAAGCCATAATGCTTTACAAGTTTGACTGGAAATGTATCGATGGTATCACATCTATACCTGATGCAGCCTTTTTATATTTTTGTGCATTTGCAAATGTACCAAACAGAGAGCTAACGTGTATAGACACTGATTGTGCTGGCAGAACTGTGGCCTTTATTTTAAGCAGGTATACCAAGCATAAGGAGTGTTAATCTGTCCAATCCAAGTCGGTCTGTAACAGCTCAACCATGAATCATGCGTCACCTTTGTGTGCATTACAGCCATTAAAGATCACTGATCCTCTAAGCTGCCTCAAAGCTACATAATGCACATGCCAAAAATATCGAGATATGCCTTATTGTAGTGTCTTTCTATATAAATGTTCTATAAATCACTGCACTGCCAAATACCACAACATTTAGTTGCTACAGTGCCTTGTCTCAGAGGAGCTTTACAAGTGTTGATACAGTATCTATTAAATGCCAGTATATATTTTGCAGTGATTTTCTATTCAAAGTTCTTTTCTTTTTTTTAGAGGGAAATAAATTCTTTTAAGATTCTGCACAGCTTTATGCTGAACATGTGCCTTTTGTTTGGCCAATAAAGCTTGCATTTGTATCGTTCTACCTGAAGATGAAAAGAGAAGCCACAGACTGTATCATACTGTAGAAATGTGTATAAAGTATAAAATATATGATCTTTTGGATATCTTGGTAAAACAGTATTTTAAACTGCTGTTTTATATCGGATTAAAATTGTGTGTGTGTGTGTGTGTGTGTGTGTGTGTGTGTGTGTGTGTGTGTGTGTGTGTGTGTGTGTGTGTGTGTGTGTGTGTGTGTGTGTGTGTGTGTGTGTGTGAGAGAGAGAGAGAGAGAGAGATATTACTGCCGTCCCCCACTGTTTTTCTTTTTTTTCTTCCTCATTTCACAGGAGCCGGGTTGACTCCGCTTTCTGCCACGAGGCCACTAAGACTCTTAAGCTGTCAGAGATTCTCAGAGAGAATAAATCTCAGCCCGTGCCAAGGTGCACAGCCAATGCTGAACATTTAAAATCTCAAAAACGTTTTTGGCCTGCAGGCTTTGCATGATTGCTCCAATCAGTGTGTTAGCATAGCACTGTCAACTGCCTGTCACTGACTTCTCTTTAAAACCACACCTCTACCTTCTCTCCTCGCAGATACATGCAATTAAAGAGTTCCACTTTTGGAATATAGGCAGATTCATTTTGTATTTGTTATTGTTTCGTATGAAAAGTGCAGTATTTTTCTGATGTAAATAATGCTTGTTTGGTAAGCTTGTTTGCAGTTTTTTTAGGTTCATGTACAATACTTTTTCTTATGTAACAAGTGTGTGTTTATGTATTTAAATACACTTAATAAAACAGAAATCATTTAAATTTCTCTGTTTGGTGAAAATGCTTTGAGTTTTTGTCATTACATTGCTTTCTATGTCTAAACCCCGTGATTAAAACAAACGCCTCTTGTTTCAACTTATTAATACAAAAAATCTGATGCTGGTTTGTTAAAGGCATGTGATTTTTTCACACTTAAATATAATATAAATCAAGTATCTCCTCTGAAAATAACTCTGTGAGTCATGACTGTCTACAATGGGTGTAACACCCGAGTCCCACTGTCTGTGATGTTTTCAGAGTTTTCAGAGTCCTCTCTTCAGTTTGTTTACATCGCCCGGACAGCCGGCTGACTCCTCCCCTCGTGTATAAAAGTTGTTTAATTGAGGGACAAGAGAAAAGAAGAATAACATACTGTACTCACTGCTTAACTGTGTTTCTAGATCACGCTCATTTCAGGTAAATTTACATGCAGTGTGAAGATACGAGCATAATAAAGATCGCTAGCATTAGCATGCTAACACAACAATGCAGCGTAAGTTGTTTTGGTTTCATGCTGGTGCTCAAGGGCGACATCTGCTGGTTAAAAAAATCACATATAAAGCCTTTAAAGGAAGAATGTACATGTTCAACATTTTACAAAAACATAGAGCAGATATCAAGTATATCCTGTTGTTGAGTGCTGACTGTCTATGATGAGTGAGAAGTGTGAGTCCGGCTGGCTGTGTTGTTGTCGGAGCCGTGTTTACATCATGTTTAAATGAAAAAGGACGGCTGACTCCTCCCCTTGAGTATAAAAGCTGTTTTAGTCAAGGAAAGGAAAAGAAGAAGAATATTCTCACACCCATTTGAATGTAGCATATGCAGTTTTAGATCACGGTCATTCATCGTCCATTTTAATGCAACTAGTAGCCAAGCGCTAACTAAAGTGTTCTAACATTAGCCTGCTAACACAACAATGCAGGCCACAGGCGATTGCAGCTTAAGTAAGTGACAACTTTGTCCGCTGCTTGCAACAAAATACTTGGTGCGAACTTGAGTGGAGGAGGTGTGTTGCTGGAGGAGAGTTGGAGGCTTCAGATTATCTGAAGTCTCTCCAAACAGAAGTTTGTTTTATTTAAAGCTGGTGCTCAAGGGCGACATCAACTGGATCAAAAAGTCACACATTCTTGCACGTAAAATGAATCCAGAAATTCAACACATTTTTGACGCTTGTTTTTTAGGTGCGTCTCTTCAGAAAGAAAAGACTGCAACAACAAGTTAAAGTCACTCACAGGATGTTTTTAGGACTCTAAAAAATAATTCTTAGCTGTAGCGTCACATTATGCCAAGTGTTAAATAAATCAAACAGTTAGTCTACAGTAGCTGTGGCAGAATGAGGCTCAAGCCGGTCCATTACTGAGGAAGCTTTTGAAGACTTATTATATGAAGTCAAGGTTCACCATAAATCACAATTTAGAGAGAACAAAGCATTTAAGCACTCCGTGTTGTGACATTTATCATCTTTATCTGTACAGCAAATGAGATGGCCTGTAGTGCACCTCAGGGCTCCTCTGTGACCCAGAGCGAGCAGGGAGCAGTCTTAAGTGTATTTTTAGTGCCTGATACCGGACATGGATGGTTTCTAAAGCAAATAGTTTTGGTTAGCATTGAGTAATGCTTTCTGTGCTTTAACTCCTTGTGTAAACATTGTGAGTATGCTTCATACATGTGGGCATGTAGAAGCCCCCACTCTGTGTTCATTACAGAAAATACCCTTCTGCTTTTTTCTGCATTTTTTGTTCTTTTTTCCACACAATTTTTGTAGTAGTTTAAAACAATATGTCCTCGGTTTGAGATGTTCCTTAGTTTTTCCTGTGCATTACTAGTTGACTTGACATTTTCACTTTAAAGCTACTTCTCAGGTTCTAAAAGCATTTTCTGACCTTTTTTAAAAAAGTCATCTTTCCCCCTAACTAACAGCCCTGTTACTCTCGGGATGAACTATTAGAAAAGCATTTATACTGTTGGGATTCAGGAACAATAGAAAACTTCTTGATAAATGCACACATGTCTATGAGAGCATGAAATGGCCCCAAAACAAAACAAAAAAAACCCTGTCGGAAATGGATTTAACTTACAGTGTTCTAACAATTACAATTATAAAACCAACTTCATTTTTTAATCTACTGGTATTTAAATGAATCCAATTACTAGCAGTTATGAGCTCTGTCACTGAAACAATTAAATGAAAATGTGAATGATTCATACAAACAATGCACGGCTATGCTACAGTGTCACCTTGGTCATTGTGCTTTATTTGCGTCTGTTGTTCAAACTGTACTTAACTAGAACTGCTAACATGCCTGGTTAAAGGCATGAGGAACACAACTTGTTTTCATGACATTACAAAACTATGCCTGCAACTGTTAGCACAATCATAGGCGGAAATCATTTATTTGGAATTCATTAAACATTGATTAGTAAAAAGGAAAAGTTGACCTTGCTGCTTGTCAGGCTTTAATAGATCTGAGTCAGCGCCATCCTCCCTTTCCATGAAACCGTCTAACAAAAGGCCAGATTCAGTGTATCTGCATTAATTGCAGGTGATGAGCACTGATATTTCCTTGTGAAAACAGAGGCCGTGGCTGGCAGGCAGGGAGGCGAGGATCCACATTCTGCATGTTTCCACAGGCTGCTGAGTTCCTCTGGGCTAATTGTTGTGTAGCGAGATGAGACACTGGAGGCCTAATTGGAGAACCTGTTATTTTCTCACAGGTCCAAGTTCAACGGCAGGTCACAGGAGTGGAGTGGTGTCAGCCCTACCCCCCCCCCCCCCCACCCCAACCCCACCCACCCACTAAAACATCCATCGCACACCTTCAGCTGTCAGCTTAGCGTTCGCTCAGGTAGTTAGCAAGGGGGGAGTGGGCGTACAGCTCTCTGTGTTTCACCTCTATTTGTGTCATGACAGAGGAAGTTATCTCTAAATGTTGAGGGCAGGAGCAACAGCAGGGCTTACTTAAGTCAATAAAGGCGGATGCTTTTTTCCGACAACATGCACAATACTCCCCTTTGTCCTCCCGTAACATTTGAGAGAAGCAGTCATCGTGGGCTATGGCAGGAGTATCACCTCCCCTCAGAGAAGCATGGCTAAGACGTGCGGCCGGCTCAAGCTGCTGATATGAGTCTATTGAGCAAGAAGTTTCCAATGTTTGCTCTGTGGAATATTTGCAGCTATATGTTACAATTCCTTTCAAAATACAAACTAAACAGACATAAACATACTTTATTCAGTGAATAGTTTTAAGGCTTTTATTCTTTTAAGCCATTACCAACACTGGTATGTGTTTCAGAGTAATTCTTAAAAGTGTTTCTATGGAAACAGACAAACTTTCAACAAAGCAGAAATATTTGCAGTGTTAAGACACACTAATAGGGAATTTCAAAGTTGTAAAAAATCCCTCAAATATTGACACTATTCTTGTATATGTATGTTTAAATATAGAACTCATTTACCTACCATGTTTATGTCATAAAAGGGGGCTTATGGAGAGAAGGCTACTGAAGCCTTAGCATATAAAGCAATGGAAAAATATCTGACTGAAAATGAACACTTTTCAATAAGTACATATGAGGATGATTCAGGGAAATCTGAATCTGGAGTCCTACACAAAATGTAAGTGTGATAGAGATATTAAAATGATCTAATGTCTGATCAGGCCTACAGGCTGTTTCATCCTGAGAAGTCTTCACTTAGTAGCTGAACTTTTTTCAAGTTGTTTTAGTCACAGACAGTGAATTGAACATGACTTCAGGAAGACTCATATCAGTAACAGATCCATCAGTTTGAGGGCTGACCAGACACCACAACACTGCACAAGGGTTTTCCTTACTACAGACATTTTATAACTTTTGTAACTTATCACATTGGAATTATTTCTTTCTCTTGGCACATTGATCACAAGTTAAGTGTCCAGGATTGTGTGCTTGCACTTTGTTGGGCACTTTAACCTTGCTGGATGATGCTCCATCATGTTGCAGAGAAGTTTTTGCTACGATTTCTCGAGATCCCTCTTGTCTGTCTGGTTCAATGGCAGACCTTTCTGCATAGTTTTATAGTCCGATGTGAATGTATTGACCTGAAATCATGTTAAAGGGATGTTGTTGACATTTCTGCTTGATTATCATTTTGTGAATCATTCATTCATTCTCACACAAACTGCAGAAATTATTTGCATATAATTTATTGTGCCAACTTTAAACACAAGAAATGCCTCCATTTTGAATAACACCCTCACAGCTTGCATGTGGCAGAGAGATATGGTGCTAAGACTTCCTTACTGAAACAACAGTCATCATCAAGCACCCATTATCGGCCACTAGAGGTCACTCCCACAAATATGAGTAAAT